CATTTGATCTTTGCAACAGCTGACAACAAGCACTGACCGGCTGTTTCCTCCCTGTGGGAACTTCAAAAGCTCGCCTTTTGGGGAATGGGATTTGACCCCTTCATCTGAGAGCTACAGAATCGGTAGTCAAGAATTGTTTTTCAAGTTTCCATCCTTTGGGGTGTAGTTCAATCTTGCGTCAATTTTTTTCATGTTTATCATCATTCCTCTACTGGTCGTTTTGGCTGGCGGGAGTAGAGCCACTCACAGGAACAACTAGTTTTCCGAGACTACGTTGTGTTTGAAACGAGGCAAATGGTTGTCATTGTGGTTGCGTTTGCCAGTTGACTCCACATCACAATTTTTTTTGTTGTTGCATATTTGACAAACGTTATTGATTATGCAATAATTCCTAATGTTATCCGAGATTTCTATATGATTTCTGTATTTTTCCCGTCTTGATGCATCTGTTTATACTCAATGCATCTTTTTGGGGGATTGGGAGAGCGGGGTTTTTATTGTTTCATATTCTTTTTATTCTTATTTCTGTCATTCCGGATGAAAGCCATCAGGAAACGTACAGTCAAATGGTGAACAAGATGATTCGGATCCACTAATGAACGGTCCTTCATCAATCGCGGCCAACCGTCAATCGCGATCGGCTCATGAACTGTCTCCCGAATCTAGTCAGATGGACACACCGGAGCCATTGGTAATTCACTTTTCTACCGTTTCCACGCGCTGGCTTAATACTCGTCTTGTCCATTTCCATTTGACACTCCTGATCGGTGTTATTGCGGTTTGTGTTCTCAGTTCCTGTTGTAGTAATACTGGTCTTCACCGTTTGATTTCTTGTCTGAACGCGCTTACTCTCCCGGTCCTCGATGTTTGCGGTGCACGAAAGTTCGACATGGCCTCGAACATTCGCTCGTGACGGAGTTTTGTGCGCGGTAACACAGTAACGCGTTCACTAGCTTGTGTGTGTGTCTGTGTTGCGTGTGCTTACATGTTTCTGCTCACTGTTGACTCCAAGGTTTTATTTGTCTGAAAACAAACTGGAGCCACCAGAACAGTATCGATCCATGTGTGCGTGTCCACGCTATGCACGTTCTCACCAGCATCAGAGCTGATATGTGCTCGCCACGTCACACACATAGTTCAACTCAACTCACTCCCTCTACCCGTGTTGCACTTTCTTTCTCTCTCTCTGGATGACCAATACAATTACAAACTTGTCCGAAAAACATTGGTTGCCTCAAACCATTTTCGTTTGCAGTGTGCTTATATCACTTTTATGAACACTAGAAGGGCTCGGGGTGAAGCGGGGTACTTGTCTGGGCTCAGGCTCAGGTACAACAACGAATACAACCCCACAAACTGGATTCACAGGCTTCCTCGTGATGGAATACCAACGTCTTTTTCTCTAAAAGAAAGACTGGGGATTATCTCGAAGCTTCACAACTGTCGTGACAAACCAGCTGAGGCTATATTTCATTCTGGTACATTGGCATAAGTGCTCACCACCCGGAATTGATATTTAATGAACCATGTGTTGTATGTTTCTGTGTGCTAGCTGCGTAATACTTTCTGTGAACTCGTCAGTGTTAGTTCATACCTGGTTGGTTTGTGAACTAATGTGACCCCCATGCAAAGTGAACTGTTATATGTGGCCTAATTAGCATTTTGGAATCCGTCTTATAAAGAAGCTATAAGTTCAGCGGGAAAGATGGTTTTCGAAATGGGTGCCCCAGACTTTAGAACACGGTATACTCTGCGGCGGCCCACACCGACGAAGGGGTTTTTCTTTGGGAACCTTAACCGGAGCCTTCAACTCAAAAGTGTGATCCCTAAGGCAGTGGGGCATAAATTCAACGCGGGAGTGTGAATGAACCACCGGTGTGGGATCCTCTAGAGACCTGTCACACAGGACCTTCGGGGTTTCCGTTAACTGTGTTGTTCGGTGATGCGTTGATTATCGGTCCGCTGTTCGGGATCGGCCCTTAGTCTCATGCACTCAATGAGACAAACAGGACGTGGACGAGAAAGCACCTTATGGGCTGGGGGCTGCCCAGTTTGGGTGGGCGGTAGCTGTCCAATGAAGTGCGAAGACTCCCACGGTCGAGAGGAAGCCCCACGTATCCCGCTCCCACGTCCACCTAGCGGGGTCTTTTGCCCGGTAAACTGCCCTCACCGTGTTTATTTGCTTGAGTGACCTCTCCAAGGCCGGTTGTGGATAGACGAAGGAGGTGCCAAAATAGCTGGCTCTGTGAGACTGAGCTTTGGCTGGCCTCTATTCGTTGACTTTTCAGACATGATTGGATCTACGGCTGTGAAAAATCATCCTGTGTGGCTGGCAGGGTCCTGGAGGCACGCAAGCCATCGCACCACGTCAAGGTGCAGTCTCGCCTAATGGAAAGAAGTTATAAAGCAGAACTATGTTAAAGGGGAATATTCTGTTTGTGTAGTGTGCACATATGTAATCTTTTATGGTGTTCACCGTTTTCCTCATAAAACTTGCATTTATCCTATCTCCCGTTTTTTGATTCGTTAATCCCATGGCTCGAAGTTCCAACCTCACCCTTGCCATCCAATTTGAATGCTAGGTAGCTTTGCTATAGTCCGGTTTAATAGTACACTTAATCTGGTGGGGCCCTATGTGGTTTAACACTTCAGTTTCCGGGGCTTAGTTTGCCGGTTCCCATCACTGAACAACAGGTCCTCGCGATTGACGTCTACCCCGTAGGCTGTTCAGCTCACAACACGTGTGTAATAAAACAATCAAGTCTTTAAATAAGTGTGCCATCTTGGCTTCAGTCTACAGCCATATGTATTCGCCGTCCTCAATCTTATAACTGCCAGGTGAATGTGAATGCCTTCATCCTTCGAACCTGATTCATTCGTTGTCCATCTCACCACCGCTTTCATTCACGATGGAACAGTCGTTGGACCGTCATCCACAGCACATGTCCCAGCCGAACAGATCATTGCGCGCAAAGGCATGATGCGATCGCTGAAGCGGAGATTCTGCGGCGAATCTCGACCTTGGTGACTAGGTCTTGCCAACGTATTCCGGCCGTGCAACGAAGGTAGCGGTGGTCAAAGATACTTAGTCTCCCTACGCCTTCTGTTCGAACGGGCCATACATACCTTAACGTTGAAGCTACAGAGTCCAGTTATTCACACTGGGTATTTTCAATCCTGATTTGCTTCATCATATCTGCATTCGGGTGTACTTTTTGCAAACCTAGATGCTCCCTCCAACGTTTCCATATTAGGGTACAGATACCTGTGTGGAACAGATTGACGGGCTTAACGACAGCCTGACTCTTGCTGTATTCGTTCGTTCTAATCACTCAGTTGTCGAATAAACGAATCCAACTTTTGGGTGTCCGTGCCTGTGCGCGCGCTGGTGTATGCGTGCGGTTACGCACACACGCACTCACGCTCTTTTCTCTGCGTTTACGACTACCCTCGTTCCGTTCATTCGATCACTTAAGACCCCATTTTCGGACATGTCTTAGTATGTCATATAATTTGTTATTGAAATTCATCTTCACTGTCACGGTCGGCCAGTCACTAAGTTTTCATGAGTAAATTCGCGTTCAGTTACCAGTACACTGGAGTGCCGACTTTGTAATCCTTTTTGAATAGCGAAACACTGCACCGTCCGTAATTGTTTTTGCAGTTCGGATGTTTTAAAACTGGTCACTCCTAATCTATTTTTTATAGGGGAAATGAGCTTAGGTCACGTGGGTCACCTCAATTAGTGTCGGATTCAGTGACTGAACACCCGTTTTTGAGGGAAAAACTTGTAATTCAGACTTTCAAAAGTCGGTTGCTCGTAACTTGTGACTATCTCCGGAGTCATGATATGAAACCCAAACGATTCACGAACGGATCACTAAAATCGGTCGACGAACCCTTATTTGTTTCACGACTTACTAATTTCACACACACGCTCGGTGACTGGGTCTCGGTGTTGTCATCATTCTGTCGATCTCCCTCACGCTCTGAACATGCGGCTTGCTCGACCAAACAACTGACATACCTGTATGTGTGTCAACTGAACGTATCCCGCGGTACCCAGAACTTCCTGCCATGCAACCAAGCGAATGGTTTTCACGATCCGTATCTCCATGCTCTATTTCAGACCATTTTTTTCTTTGAACATTTAGAATTCACATTTTCTAACTTCTTTGAATAAGTTGGTTGTCCGTGGCTCATCAGCCAGGATCTATAGCTTCCCAGATTGTCATCTCATTTATTTGTTATTTCCCATTTTAACAGTTCCATCTTTTTCCCCCCATATTCTGTGTCCCAACCTCCCTCCTGTATTGTTATGGTTATTAATGTTTTGGCGTTGTGACCATGTTTTTCCGCAAGCCGGTGTTGAATGTATATACATGTATATAATATCTTCGTCACGAGGAGTTAGTGGCGTTTTCCCAACACCAGCAACTGTGCTAATCGATGCGCTCCGCGGTGAGAATTAGTCGTTGTCCAAATTCAAACGATGAAGAGGGTTTTCTTATTGTCACTAGTTGGTTCTTCGAATGTATTCGAAAATCCTCTGCACTGGGAACCAAAATAAAATCAGTTGATAAGTTCACTTTGGTTAGGCGACTTTTCCGCTTGTCCCTGTTTAACAATTTAATGAGAATTCGTTGAACTTCTACTTAACTGATAGGTAGTACCATGTGACTGTCTACATTCTCATAGTCAGTTGTCTATTCACATGTTGTTTGGTGTCTTACTGACATACAGACCAACACTCTGAGTATAACAAATGAATTGTTTTGATAGCAGATATTATCAGCCTAAAGTCACATGTGGCTAATTCGGTGTACTATTCTGTCGATTGTGTTTACCACTGAGTGTAACATCCTCGCCCTCCTCCCCCTATGTTCTCTTTGTGGTTCCTTTCTTATTTAGACTGAATTGGAATCTCGAGATGAGCTAAATGTTTTAACGCGTTCGATTCCATCGCCGGTGCATCGAAACGGCGGACAGACAGATTCTGGCGAAGAAGGCGGACGCACGGCCCTAGATGATCAGGGTCCGGTTGTCTCAGTTGCCTGTCCGGTAATTCGAGATGAGACCACATTGATGAGTGGTCGTGCCGCTCTGACTCCCTTGAAACTGACTAACGGGACTCTGACCAATGGAGGTATGGTTTCCCCTCTGCCACCACCACTCCCACCGCGTCGGTTTTCTCGCGAAACGAAACCGGTTCCAGATGAAATCGATCAGCAAATACCTATCGCAACAGGTAAGCGAGGGACCGACCAATTTACAATAGCACGCTCTTTGTCAGAGTTCATAGTGTATCTATGTTGGACAATTCCAATGTTTGTATCTTATTCGTGATTCTTCTTCCACGTAGTCGGACTTGTTGCAATTTGTTCTTGCTCTACCTGTGGACGTAATAGTAGATATAATATTATATTGTATTATATTATATTATCACTATGGTCATGTTCCTTCCGCTTCTGGTAGACTCATACGGAATGAAAGTCTATAGAATGCATCTTTGGCTCATGTATATGCTGTCTGATACCGGCGAAGTTGGACGTGGGCATCTACCGTTTATTTATGCAATTTCGTCAGCATAGTGGCCCGACCGGTCTCTTTAATCAGTCCTTTTTAATACTTTATAGCTGGATCAGCTGGACGAATGAAATCGAGACAAATACGAAACTCCAAGCTCCGTGCTTGTGCTATTTTCTTTCACTTTCAGTCGGATTGAAAATTTGGCAAAAAAAACGGTTTTTATGTTTGTTCGATGTAGCATATACGGTGCGATTGCTCCATCGTTTACCCTCGTCTCATCCCTCTCACTCGTAACCTTAAACAAGTAAATTCCCTCACTCCAACACGAAACTGTCTGATTACCAGCTTGCACGTTTTGTAATGCTCTTGTTGTCACGTCTAGTCCATCCGTGTGCTGATGGCACTCCTGCTGCACAGTCAAAGTTCACTGGGCCTGCCTGAGACTCACGGCTGTAAGAAGGGTGTGGCTTCTCGCTGAGGTTAGCTGTACACTCTTGCTGCGGTTTTTGTATTTGTAACTTTTGTAAGCATATATGCTTACATTTCAGTTAAGACCATCCGAACCATTCGACCGATCGGTCGTGTGATTTTCGGGCTGGCACAGGAGGATAGGTTCCGTATCCGATGCTGCCTAACTGTTGGTAGAAAATCACCCTAAGAGAATCAGTTGTGGAGCGGTGCGCCATGTGGGAAATTCCGAATGGAAATTGCTCAAGCGATGATGACACTGGGCCAACGCTTGACTCGTCTAAGATACACGCACTATTTTTCGAAGCGGATTCGGTAAACATATAATGATAATAAAACTTTGAACTTCTCTTAATAACGGACAACAATATCCTCTTATGTTGGCCCACGCAAAACTTTTCTTGTCTTTTCCCAGCTGGTTGTTTTCGCTTTGAACAATCTCGCTAACTATGTCGGAGATAGAATTCCGAAAGAAAGAAAGAACAAATATTACGGAAAAAAAATATTCGTATATGTTCTCCATTCTGCTGCTTACATAACAAAATCCGGTGAAGCTAGTTTTCTTCCACCTTCAGAATGGTAGTAGTTGAAATACTTTCGCACTGCGCCACAATACTCTGTTTATGCTCCTCAACCGTTCTCGGTTTTCGGGAATAAACTGATCGCTTTAGATATCCCCACAGAAATAAATCCAAGGGGGACAGATCAGGTGATCTTGCAGGCCATTCCTTTGGTCCTCTTCGGCCAATCCATCCGCAGTTAGATTCAGAGTCGAGGAAACTTCTCACCACCAGAGCATTGTGTGACGATGCACCGTTATGTTGGAACCAAACTGTAGTTCCAACGCCGGATAGCAAGTACCAAATTTGCAACTATGAAGCGCCTTAAACAATTGAATAAGCAAAATTGTGCAAATCATCCATTACGTCAAATATGCGTTTGGGTGTGAGCTCGTCGATGAATTCTTATGTTTCGATTTTAACTCCTCATGAGTAATATAATTAGCAACTCACGAGTCTGCTTCCCATAGTAACAAAATGTTTAATTTCCAAGAACCGCAACGAAATTTATCGCTTGATGCAACTATTTTAGGTGATCCAGTGACTCTGTACACACGCGCATATCTTCCCGGAGATGAGATTATCGTTTTCGACTTGCCCCTGACGGACGGATCGCAATTGGTGAGTGATGGAACTGTCACACCAACCGAATTGGTCACTACCCCGTGCAAAGTTGAGAATTTGGGAATCCGACTAGTCGGCTCTCGTATGCCGGAAAAAGTTGCAACCTATATTGGTGGATTTTGTCCCGGATCTATTGCTGCAAAATATGGGGTTCTGAATGTGGGCGATGAGATTGTTCAGGTGAATTTCTTTAATAATTCCCTTTAATTTCTAATATGCTAATTCGGAATCTGAAATGTGCATAAGTTAATCTGATGTCAACACACACACACACGTTGCTACTCATCGTTTTTAAGGAACTTCTTCAATGTATCTCATTTTTGGTAGGTAAGATTGCTGTGATACCGAATTGAATAATTTCCCTATTTTTTGTGCCTAGAAATACACTCATTATATGAGAGTAATCGAAGATTTTATTCCATTTCACAGAGAGAATTCATCGTGTCTAGAGCAAATAAAGCGTGAAGTGAAAAGATTCAAAACACTGTACAGTTTTTTCGACCTGGTTGAGTTTCATCAGCAGCGCGAATCCATCGACCCATCAGGGAATCAAACCTGGAACCTGTATACACGACGAACTCCTTCTTTAAAATTAGAGTTTGTTATAAAACTAGACTAGACCTATTTTCTTGATTTTCCATTTACTCATTTCTTGTTCCGTAACCGTAATTTAATTACTGTGTTGTGCTTTCAAAGCTTGTAAGTCTTTTCGCTTATCGATTGGCGCATTCTTAGCTAGATGACTTTCCCAATATGAACTAGGTCACAGTACTTGCTTTGTATTTTCTACTCCAGAAATTCATTTTTTGCGATAGTTATTGCAGTGCTTCTTGTCGCCTTATGTGTGGGTTATTTTATAGCATCTTCTGCTCTGGTTTCTTTATTCTCTACCGTCTTCAATAATTTGGTCATATTTTCTTTTCCATTCCCACAAAAGCTTCTTTTGATTATTGAAATGCTCAATCACTTATTGAGTTTCGTCAGCTCACTTGCTCGCTTCTTTCCTCTCCTCTCATAGGTAAGTGAATTCAGTGTGGTCGGCCTGAGTCGATTGACCGTTCGACGATGTCTGGCACGGGCCATAGCTAAATCTGTGACCAAATGGCAAACGAACGGGTCCGATCCGACTAGTCCAGCTCTCCTTCATCTGGTGTTACGAAGAAATCCGGTTCATGCAGAAATGATGGCTTCCACTCACAGTTCACCCGAACGGGAGCGAGGAAGCTTCTCCAACGACCAACTTAGTCCTCCGGTTGTCCCATCCCGTGCTGCAGTCTCTGGATCCGCGTTTGCAGAGCATGTGGGTACTCAGGTGAGCAAGAACATGTGTTTATATATATATATATATATATATATATAGCACTTACTGATTGTGATGGACTAAATATTTTCTTTCTGACTAAATTCAGTTTCATTACATTTATCACCTATATTAATGCTTCAAGTATGGCCAATTTTCTCTTATTTATTTTGATCTACGTGGTTTCTGGACTACGTGATTGTTAGTTAACTATACGTGAACTTGGTTGCCAAGATAAAGCAATCTCAACATGAAAATCGCAAACTTTTACAGGTATGAAAATAAATTATATTCTAAAAGGAGTTACCTAAGAATTATCCCCTATAAGCCCGGATGTCAATGTGATTAAAAATCTATTTCCGGTTTTGGAGAGAGAGGTCAATCTGCTACTTGTATGTTGGAGGTAAAAGTGCACAAAATCGAAAATAACTTCATAACAACGGTGGTGGATTCGATGTCGATGAGATTCGAAAACGTCCCAAAGAATAACGGCAAGGCAATCGACTATTAGTGTACACACACACACACACACTCGCATCCTGCTTTTTTAACCCATCTTCTTTCGCGTTTGTGACACTTAGACCGCTGGACAGATCGGATTCCCGGATGCCACCAATCTCGTGCATCGATATCCGGTCGCTCCTGAGGTTGTAAAACAGATCGCAACCCGTTTAAACGAATCGCTATTCGATCTGGATGTGTTCGACGTGGAACTACAGCGGGTATGTTGTGAACAGCATTTGTATAGCATCAACTCCACCTCTTGCTTGCTTTGCTTTTCTCAAATGTGTTCTCTTTCTTTCCGGTTCCCTAAAAGTGTTCGCTAAAATTTCATTCCCACTTCGACAAAGACACATTCACGAACAATGAGTGCAAAAAAGAAATATGTGGAAGCGGATTATTCATGCGGTTTTACAATAGACTTACTTGAAACCCATCTTCCTTCGTGTGAGAAAGCATTCTAAATAGAGCATTGCTAAGCTTCGTTTAGTGCCAAAACCTAACGTTTGACTTTGCATATTCAATACAGTTGCACATGTCCAATTGATCAATATTGAACTGATTTGTTGAGAGTATCAATAATGCTTTGAAGTGCGTATCTCACAGTAGGTTTAGATCATTGCAACTTTACTGTTAATGGTTATCAGATTGGAATAGAAACTCAGCCAAAAGTAATGAAATTCCTTTTTTGCAGGGCAACAGTAAGATCTCATAGCGAAATTGAGATGTTTGTCTACAGTAGCAGCCCTTGTATGTCGTTTTGTAATAGGCTGTCACACAATGAAATTCCAGCAGTAGTGCTCAGTCTATCAAGGGGCTGCCAAAGAACAGAAGATAAAGGTGAAGTTCAGTTGCAGTGGTGACTGTAAACGTGCGATCTGAACCCGTGAACAAGCACCACCCAGTGTAGTATACAACCAAAGGAATTGTGGAACATTCCAGTTCCGTTGAGTGTGGAAAAACGAACGCCTTGTTTGACCAACACATTGGATTGGAAGAAAACCTCCGTTGATTGTTTTCCATGATGACTCCTACACTTCTTGTGAAGTATATTCCCGTTGTGAGGATAGACTTGACAGCGGACGGTTAAGATAACCATGTGCGTTCTGAAGTAGTAGAATTGCATTCAGATCATTTTCAAGGGTTCATTTCACGTGTGATTTTGTTGATGGGACATATGTCTATGCGGGTTAAGTAACCAGATTAAGACTTCATGTCGATTGGATCAGACAATTTTCCTCAGTGAACTCATTTATTCACTGTTTGAGACATTTCGGTCGCTCAAACTACTATCATGTTTCTGATCCGAATGTGGGAAACAAAATGCCGGAGGGAGATGCACACAACAATAACAACGATAACGATGCTGCAGGTTTTATCTATGAGTAGTAAATTTGATGCTCTATCCTTAATCTTTGTTCTTCATTCACGGGTCGTGCAGAAATAATGTAATGGAATAATTATGGAAAATAACTAACTAACTTTCAAAAAAGAAGTGCTAAGGGGAGGTGAGTGAAATCGAAAGCAATAGGGAAAGACGACCATACGAATCGGTTTCTGTTGGGGTTTCCAAAAGTTTTGCTATACATTTCATTGTCACAGCAACGATGCACACGGTGAAAAAATTGTTTCTGTTTAAGAAATATTCAACACTTATACCAAAGCGACCGAATGCAAATTTTGCGGTCATTTGTTTCGTGTTCGACTATACATGAATGTATATTTGTCCAAGTATGTGCAATCGAAGGTATTTTTTATCTCGTTTCTCCTTAGCTGACATAAATCTCTCATTGCTCGACACACTTTCATTGAATTTTTTGCCAACCAGATACCATCCTCATTAGTTCGTCGATATTTTCTTTCCTCACAGGACAAGGACGGATTTGGCATTTTTATCGTCAATCTTGGACCGAACGATGTCCCGGGCGTGTTTGTTTCTGCACTGGCTCCGAACGGTGCCGCGGCTGAGGTATGCAACAGTCTGGAACGTCTGGTTTGAATACATCACGTTTTTTCATGTGACTTTGAACGACTCACCAGTGGTATTATCTGCATGCTTCGATATGTGTATTGTTTGATTTCATCTACGCCTCCGGTTTGGTATGATTTATTGACCTGACCACGTGGTTGTCTGTATATCGTCCTCACCCACTGTTTGTTCCGATAGTCCGATTTATCTGTTATACATGTTGTGTAAGTGACAAGTCGGTCGCATACAAGTTTTGAAAAGTTTCACTCATTGGTTCTGGTCCCCTCTTCTGGAAAGTCCGAGCACTGCCGGTTCAATTCCCGGCACGCTTGATCACCGATGCGACTAAGCTCACATGGTCAACCAGCATGCGATCCGTTGTATGAAGTTTCCGTTATTGGTTGGAGTTCTTGCTCGGGAATCTGCCCTGTCCCGATAAAATAGTATCTTTCTTTTGGTTTATACCATCCACGCAACTCTTATTTGTGACTCCAAAACGCTATGTCCTGGATAACCGCTCGACAAGCTGGCTAAACGGAAGATGGCAAGATTCATTTCTTGTGGTACAGCTGGGGTCATGCATGTGGAACAGTTTCCACAGAGTGCGGAAAGCGAGATTAGTCTAGATTCAATCAGAGCAGAAAACCTTGGTGTCTTGTGGGTTGCACCAAACCGTGTGGCGTGACTTGTAGATAGCACAAATTGTGCCGATCTGAAAACGTTTGGAAACCGTTCAAGTCCGATGTAGAGATCACGAGACTCTGAAATTCGGTATTGTACAAAAGTCGATGCCGAATTTTGGAACTAAGATCCATCACGACGAAACTACACCTTGACGTGGTGTGATTCCATGTGCACCTCTGAGACCCAACGATCTGCGTAGGATAGTTTTTATCATGCTTAAAAGATCAGAGGTCATACAAAGTTCAGTTTCCAGGTTCGGCTTGAGTTAAGGCCTCAGTCAGTAAAAAATAGAGCGGTAATCGATATTAGTAAACGGGCCTCCATTTCGTTTCATCCGCTGCCTTACGGTTGGGTTCTCGTCAGAACTGAATTCTTTGGTGGAGAACCTTAATGGTTTTCCTGCTTAGTGTT